TCCCATACTGTAGTGCCTGCAATCATCATTCCTGCAGCACCAGTGGGGCTCCCAGGACACCCCCATCACCATCAACCACAGGTGACAGTGTGATGAACTATGATGCCTCTGCATACCATGAATTGCTAACCTCCCATTTCCTATTGGCAAGGAGCTCAGCACTGAGCTCAAGTCCCAGTTGCAACCAAACCAATCCCCAAACCCTATCTTTGAGGTTCTGTCTCCTGGGACCAAATCACACCAGTGATTCGAACAAGTAAAATTTATAAAAAAGAATTATGAGCTAGTAAAAGGGGTTAACTACTGAACTAAGAAATACTAAAGTAGCAACCATAGGAAGGGGCTGCTTCTTCCAGGGATGAGGGAGTGTACCCAAAAGGGGAACTTCTGGAAGACGCCCCCAGCTGCTGAGGCTGAGCTTCACACCTTGTTGGAGCCTGCTGGATGGGGAGAAGCTGCCAACTGAGTGATGCAGGGTGCGGCTGCACTGCAGGGGTAAAAGAAAACCAGACGCAAGGAGAGATGCCGCTTATGCTGACTTGCAGTGTCCCTCCAGCACCGTCTACTGGTAAAGTCTCACAGTGCAACAGGAGAAATGCTTACACGGTCTAGCTTCCAGGATGGCAAAGCAGGACAAAGGGTGGATTTGGAGCTCTCAGTCAATAAACTGGTAAATGGCACAAACACCATTTCCTCTGGCTAATTCCATGCTCTCCCCAGAACTGTCTGAATATGCTCCGGTTCCCCTGGTAGATTACCTTTGGGAAGAACCTGTGCTGGCCTACAGACCCAGGTTTCCAGTGTCTTTGATGGCTCTATCTCCTATGAAAATCAGCATCCAGCTTAACAATCAATGAAAAAGAAACAAAACTTTACAACTTGATATACTTAGTTGTAATTCAAAATGGAAAAAATAGAAGCTGATAAACACTACTTTGGTATCTTCAATTACTGCCTAATCTTTAACTCGAAATGTGTTTCTCAGGAAAAAGTGAGCCATACCACACCTCATGGGAACGATAAGCTCGGGACAGTACAGCCAAAGCAGTCACTGCACACTGGAAGCCATGAGCCAATGCCAGGCACACTGTGGATCAGAGTTTCTCAAAGTGACCACCTGGGGCAATTGTCAAAAATGCAGATTCCCAGGCTCCACACCAGATCTACCAAAGCAGATCTCTAGAGGCTGGC